GCAGACCCCTCCACCTTAAGGGGGGGGGGTGTGGGGTTATGTGCGCTCTTCCCCCCCCCCCCCCCCCCCTGTTGGAGAACTATGTGGCTTTCAGGTAACGCAAAAATACCAAAGAGTCTCTAGGGTGTTTGGTTTGTCCGTTCTGGGCTACCGTAGGAACTTGGCGGACTCCCCATGTAGCTATGAACGGCTCATTCTAAGCTAATGAAAACACGACGACTCCTCTTGTGTTCAGGCGATTATACACTAATTAGAACCAGTTGTGAATATTATTTTACATTTCTGCCAATAAATCCCACTAAATCCTAAACACTGGTCCTTTAACTCAACAGTCTTTGGTCAAACAAATTCGAATCTACTGCAAAATGATGCTATTATATTAGCAGTTAGCTTCTTTATCTTTAGCTCCAAACCAACTGGATCCACAATGTTAACTAATATTAGTGCTACATTAGCTTACGTCTAAGTAAATTAAAGTTAGCAGTCAGCTTTATCTCCAAGTCCGTGTTATTAGCTACTGTTAGCGTTAGCCAACTAAGATAACTGATGTTGGCTATGTTCATTTAATCTCCCAACATTAGCTTATATTAGCAGTTAGCTACATTAGCTTTAGCTGTAATCTAACTAGAGCCATACTGTTAGCACTATGTTAGCTCACCCTTCAGCAGTCTATAGCAGTCAGCGTTATCTTCAAGTCTGTAATGCTGAAGCTAATGTAGCTAAATTCATAATTTTAGCTAATGTTAGCAATATGCTACATTAGCATTACTTTCAAACCAGTTGGATCCTGTTAGCTAATCAGTCACTTCTCTGTGGAGGTAATTCTAACGTTAGCCATCACCGCCATTAGCTTTAGCTCAAAAACAAACTGGATCCTTAATGTTGACTAATGTCGGCACTTTATTTGCTTTACCTGCGAGCTAACTGAGTTAGCAGCTACATTAGCTTTATCTCTGAGAGTAAATTCTAACTGTTCATCTGGAACAATGTCAAATTTAAAAGCATCATATCAGCTGATTTATGAAGTTTAATTAAGCTCTCACTGCACTGGCAGCTGTTTTCACTTGTTGTAAAACTTTAAAAACAAATAAATTACAGACTGAATTTACAGGATTAAGTGATACAAGTACAACTGAGAATCCTCCGAAAATATGTCCTTTTAGTATGAAAGACGTTTTGCTTGTAGTTAACATGAATTGAAAGTGACCGCAGCTGCTGTGACATCAAATAGATCAAATAGAATGTCTAATAACAGTAGTGAGGTAATGCCGACACTAGAGTTCCTTGTTTTGACCCCGTTGGTTTAGAGACAAAGAATTGAGATTTAAGAATAATTATGTTGACATTTTGTAGTTGTGTTTTTTTGACCAAAGTACCGCCATGTTACAAGTTTTTCAAAACTTTCTAATTTTAGATTGGAGATCAAAATGTTTCTGAATGTGAAGGCGTTTGTGTTTGGTCCATTTTGTCCCCTCTCTGCTCCCGTAGCGGCTGTACAGACGGATGTAAACTGGTGATTCTGTTGATCCAGATCAGACCTCGGTGTCTGTTCTGGATCACGTGATACTTTTTCTTAATAAAGACTCGACAGAAACTCACCTCTGCTCTCTGAACTCTTCTGTTTGTAACTGCATGACGTGTTTATAGTCTGGAGATTGACAGGTCTCTACGTCACTCCTCCTCAGTCCAGATATGCTCACTTCCTGTACACTGGTTGCAAAAAACAAGATGGCGATGGTGAAAATGCCTACTTTAAACTTCAGAAAATGTCAACAAACACGTATTACTACTTTACAGTTCAAATATTTAACCTTTATTCCAACATGAAAAAAA